GTTCTCGTTTGAACCCTTCCCTATATATATATATATATATATGAATGACAAAAGTCCAAGATTTAACTGCATAGGATACAAACGTGGTGAGTATTTATTATTGGTGCTTTATGGACCAATCTTTCTCCTCATTACACCCAACTTTTAACGGATTTTCATATTATTCTTTTTGGTGAAAATGAAAAAAAGAAAAAGAAATTGACACTTTAATAACAACACATGTAAATTATGTAATGCAATGTTAAAAAGATGATATCAAAAAAGAAGTTAGAATTTTTATGCATACCGGACAAATTGCTTACAAACTAGTACATATGCATACCGTACAGATGAACGATTACTAGGATATTTTCTTAAATTTTTATTTTTTTACAGTTTTCCTATAAACCTGATCCTGTATAGATATATCTAGTTTCTTTCTCATGTGGTGGGGTAGAAGTTAGATCTCTGTGTATTTTATTCTTTCCAATCCTCACCTGCAGTAAAATATACGAAGTCTGTTTGGTTTAATTTATTAAAGCGTTCTTAACAGATTTTTGAAATTTCCCTCTCAAATTTCATTACCTTATCCTCAGCCATGAGTATCCAACATTTTTTTCTAGAATTTCCGTAGGAGTTGTTCTCGGGTATACTAGAAGAAGGTTGTTATACACTCGAACCCATCCCTAGAAGGAAAAACGAGAGATTATTTATGTTAGCCTTTATGTGCAGCAATCCACTGGTAGTGAAAGATACAGTAACCGTACATACAAGAGTCTTTTGATTCTTACCGTTTAAAACTTTCTAAATATAAAAATCTCCAAATTCAAAAAACTCTCAAAATTTAAATGCCCAGGGGATAGAAATTGTTTTTTTCCCTCATTGTTTTTATGAATCAAATTAATGATCATATAATATTATTTATTGGAAAAGTTAATGGGATAATAAATGTATTAAATATTTTAAAAATATAATTAATGTTTAAAATATTTTTAAACAGATAATTTGTTGATTATGGATATATATTTTTTATAGATCGAAATTAAGATGACATGACACAAGTTATCAGTTTTCCATTTCATCTGATTATCCACATGGAATATCCACATATAACATATTTCTTAAATCCACGTACCACTTCGATTAGATTGGAATAGGAAGTTAGTAGCCGTTTGGAGCGAAATGTTTTCTTTTTAAAAGTTTTTCCTCCAGGTTTGCCTAACCTTAGATATAGGGTACAACGTTTAATATTTCTAGGTCAGAGGTTCAAACTTCATTAAAGGTGAAAGTGAATGTGAGTTTATTTGTTCTATTTGTTGTATATAAATATTATATACTTCAAAAAAAAGATACGAATAACCACAATGGTATGTTAGTATTTATAGGCTTGGGTTGACAGTTTTTAACCATAACAAGTATCATTTGACCTTATCCAAATCTGAATCAACAACAACCAACAGAAGATATCTTCAAAAAGATCATTATAAAAAATCGTCATCTAGTGAAGCCTAAGTCGCGTAATACACCTGTGCGGGTTTCCCTGTGACTGAAACGGCATGAGAAGTCGCGGCATTTTACCGTAGAACAATGGCAGATCCAGTATTTTTGTCTAGCAGGGTCACTTTTAAGGTAGACTAAAGGCCTACAAAGTCGTATGATGTGTTTTTAACCTAATTACAATGTTTCGAGGGATTTTTAAAGTTTTTTTGGTTGATTTCGAGGGATTTTTTTCGTGTTTTTTTTGTCAATTTCGAATAATTTTTTTGGTCTTTTTAATTGATTTCAATAATTTTTTTGGTTAAAATAACGATTTCGATTGGGGTCGGGGTCCGTGGAAAAATGTAGTGGAGGAAAGTGAAAAATAAATCATGTAAAATCTAAATTTTAACCTAGGATTTTTTTTGACTTTTTGATGAGATAATATTCCCACGTTGTAGACTATATCCAACCGTAAACATATCTTATGTATCTTCCATATCATTTTAAATATACATATAAGCAAAGAGAATCGGTTTAAAATATCACAAGTTACCCGATGTTATAACAAGTACATATTTTTCAAAAGCAAGTTACTTGATGTTATAACAAGTATCATTTATTAGTGCATCATTTTATTTTTCGAACACAAATGTAATCATTGTCATGTCCTGTTCTGTCATGTCTCGTCCAGTATACCAAATGCATTAAAAATAAATAATTTAAAAATAAAAGATGCTCTTGCTAGTTGCTACTTCGCTGCATGTCTTCCCAAAACAGCCACAATGCAAAACCAACTTCCGATCAAATGTATTCAATTCTAATCTATAAAAGACAGCCTTTGATCTCTTAAACTGGGAAAGCTGCGACATTTATGATATTCGATTTTGTCTTTATTTAAGGTCCAACACATGAACTCGTGAATCCGGATCCAGATTTCACCTGTTTTCTTGTTCAGCCCATAGAAATCCGTTTTCCAATTTCATTTAAATAGCCATTCAGCCACGCTTCGTATCACCATCTCTCGACTCGACTCCACTCTCTCCCTGTATCAGGTTCGATTCTTTCTCTTCAATTTTCTTGATTTACGATCACTCATCTTAAATCTTCATAATATCCCATTTAAATGCTTTCATTATCTTCAACTGTTGTTCCATAATTGATAGAAGGTCCAGATGGAACTAGACCCGAAGTTACTCAATGTGGGTGTCCTCCTCATCGCCACTCTCATCGCCGCCAAATTCATTTCCGTCTTCTTAATCCCCAGATCGCGTAAACGTTTGCCGCCGGTCGTCAAATCATGGCCCTTTCTCGGTGGGCTTTTCCGGTTCTTGAAAGGACCCGTCATCATGCTCAAACAGGAATACCCTAAACTCGGAAGCGTCTTCACCCTCCATCTCTTGAACAAAAACATCACTTTCTTGATCGGACCTCAGGTTTCATCCCATTTCTTTAAAGCTTCTGAATCGGATCTCAGCCAACAAGAAGTCTACCAGTTTAATGTCCCAACTTTTGGCCCTGGCGTTGTGTTCGATGTCGATTATTCAATCAGACAGGAGCAATTTAGGTTCTTTACTGAGGCTCTTAGGGTTAATAAACTCAAAGGTTATGTAGATCAGATGGTTTATGAAGCTGAGGTATACTCTTCTTTTCCCATTTTCTTTACAATGATTCTCTGTTTTGTATGTGTTTTTAGAAGCATTATTGGCTGGTTTTGATTGCTTTTTTGACTGGCAATTGCAGGAGTATTTCTCTAAATGGGGTGAATCTGGTGAAGTGGATCTAAAATATGAACTTGAACGTCTTATAATCCTTACAGCCAGTGGATGCTTATTAGGTGAAGAGGTTCGTAACAAGCTTTTTGATGATGTTTCTGCTCTTTTTCATGATCTTGATAATGGGATGCAACCCATTAGTGTTATATTCCCATATCTGCCCATCCCGGCTCACCGTCGTCGAGACCAAGCTCGCAAACGCCTTGCGGAAATCTTTTCGACCATTATATCTTCCCGTAAACAAAGTGGGAAGTCGGAGAATGATATGTTGCAGTGTTTTATTGAATCCAAGTACAAAAACGGTCGACCCACCACTGATTCGGAGATCACTGGCCTTCTGATTGCTGCCCTTTTTGCCGGGCAGCATACGAGTTCGATCACATCAACTTGGACTGGTGCTTACCTTCTCTGCAACCAAAAACACATGGCTGCTGTTGTTGATGAGCAAAGAGATCTTTTGAAAAAGCATGGAAACAAGGTCGATCACGATATCTTATCAGAGATGAATGTGTTATATAGATGCATAAAGGAAGCACTGAGGCTTCACCCTCCTCTAATCATGCTTCTTCGTAGCTCGCATAGTGATTTCACTGTGACAACAAAAGAAGGGAAAGAATATGACATACCCAAGGGCCACATAGTCGCCACATCTCCTACTTTTGCGAATCGGCTGCCAGATGTCTATAAAGATCCAGACACATATGACCCGGATAGATTTGGACCTGGTAGAGATGAAGATAAGGCGGCAGGGGCGTTTTCATATATATCTTTTGGTGGTGGAAGACATGGTTGTTTAGGAGAACCCTTTGCTTATCTGCAAATCAAAGCAATATGGAGCCATTTGTTGAGGAACTTTGAGTTAGAATTGGTGTCTCCATTTCCAGAGACTGATTGGAATGCCATGGTGGTTGGTGTCAAGGGGAAGGTTATGGTTCGTTATAAACGGAAGGTGCTTCCTCTAAGCTAACCCAAAAATGGATTAAATGTTCATAATTTTTAGCACCCATCCTCCTGGTTTCTTTTCCCTAATTGCAGTGTGCTAAGGCTGTTCATTAATTTATGCATCTTTTAAGATTCTTGATGATTCCAATTGAGGTTTTGGTTTCCTTCTGTTAATGGGAATGTTAAACGTTGTGGTTTAATTGGGTTGGATTCCTAAAGATTTGTTTAATACAGTTCCTGGATGTTAAACAAACAACACAAGAAAAAGATAGATTGATGAAAACGTAAAAAGGTGCAGTCTTCATGGTGAATACACCACTTGCATGAAAAAGGACAAAAAAACAAAAGGTGTCTCTTCATATGTGAATGAGCCTTGGTTACAGGCAACTTTATCTGCATTTCAGTTGGGTTCATTATGAATACATCACTTGTATGAAAAAAACAAAGGAAGGTGTCTTCATGTGTGAATGAGCCTTGGTTACAGGTAACTTTATCTGCATTTCAGTTGGGTTCATTATGAATACATCACTTGTATGAAAAGAACAAGGTAACTTTTGCTGCATTTTAGTTGGGTTCATTATGAATACATCACTTGTATGGAAAAAGAACAAAAAACAAACAAAGGTGTTTCTTCATGTCTGAATGAGCCTTGATTACAGGTAGCTTTAGCTGCATTTCAGTTGGGTTCGTTATGAATACATCACTTGTATGAAACAGAACAAAAAAAGGTGTCTTCATGTGTGAATGAGCCTTGCTTACAGGTAAACTGAGCTGTATTTCAGTTGGGTTCACTATGAATCACTTGTATGAAATACAAATAAAAGCAAACAAAGGTGCGTCTTCATGTGTGAATGAGCCTTGCTTACAGTTTATCTGAGAGCTGTATTTCAGTTGGGTATAATGTTTATAAGCTCAATGTCAAACAAAAGGGTTTTATCGATCAATCCTTGGTTCTTGAGCACAAAATCCAATGCTCGTTGGCCCTGTAGAACATGTTAGTGTTAGATACCTATTAAGGAGCAACTACATAATGCAAAAGGGCATTGAACGTACCGAAAATGTTGTTGGTTTTGGACCACTCTTGTTGTAATCATTCTCAGGATATCCAAGGTCTGGGGGCACAATGATCCTGAACAGATATATGGATCAAACAAATGGTCATCACCTCAGTTCAGCCGTTGTTCTAATAACTTGTTAGCAACTATTATCTTGGCATCTTTTCGAATTTCATATGTATAGTTGATATGCACCTTCTAATGCCACCCAAAGCCATGCCTGAAACAGCTTCCTCAAAAGCTGGTATCACCTGCCAGTAGAACATGGACCACCAGATAAGCTGGCTGTTAGCTGAGATAATGTTTGATAAAAACTAGCTAATAACTTAGATGACAATGTAAAATGACCTAAAAGATATGTTAATAGACTTAATGGATAAATATAAGGGGCATACCTGCAAAAGGTGGAAAAATAAGCTAGCTTATGGCTAACCAAACTTATTTTAAATAAGCTTAAAAATAAGCTAGCTTACGATTGCCAACTTGGATTCCGGGGAAAATGGAAGTTCTGGTGAGAATGGAAGTTATGTGAGAAGGGATCTCTACCCTTGGATCAATCCTAATTGAAGATCAACACTAATGCGGTGCACCGAGATGCACCAGATCAAACATTATCTCGGTCCAGATCCCTTCTCACTTTAACTCCTGTTCTCACACGATCATCCGTCTACCAAACATGGCTCAAGGGTAAAAGGGGGAAGGAGGCAATCTTTGGAGCAACTCCTAAGGTTTGTTCTTTTATGCCTGAAATTGGGTCACAGAACAGCCTCTGTGCAAAATGCATAGGAACAGCTGAGCACAAAGACTTTCCTACCCACCTTGGAAAACCAAGGAGCCTTGGAACAACGGAATCACTCTTTTACCAAAAGCAGAGGAGGAAAGGAAATTAACCTCATGGGAACCTAGTCGGAATCTGTAGAAGGACTTATCATCTCCCTGCACAGTTTTAATACAGTGAATGCAACTCTACACTTAAAAGATGCATCTTCACAATCATAACTCATAAGTATGATATACCTCAAAGGAACCACCTTTCGTCTTGTTTCTAGCTTCAAATATGCGGCCATAATATCCAATCGTGTAACCATCCCAATCAACCTAAATGCATTTAATAAATCTGTAAGAATTTGCTGCTTTTGGCAGTGCCAAGAAAGACCCTCCACCCTCCATCCCGTGTACATGTTTTTCTATCTTTTTTTTCTTTCTTCCTCCTAATCTTCTCATTTTCTCTTTGCAGGTATTCCTAGATATCATAGTACAGATTTTTTGGAGGTTAAAACATAAGCGGGGACGTACAGAAAGGTTGGCATACCACAACAGTGTCTCCCATCTTTGCCGTTTGGCCACTTCCCCTTCGCAAGTCCTGCATCCATTTTGAGTTTTGAATCAAAAGAGATGATTAGAGCATAGACGTAAAATATAACGAATACCCTCCCTGGAAGCGACCTTATACTGGAGTCCTGAGCTTGTCTCAGCATAATCGGGATACTTCATCTTCGATTTTCCATAATCCTTACCCTTTAAAGCTGGCACTGCAAGCAAACAAGTTGCACCAGTTAGTTATCCAAAACATACTTGTCCACATAAAGTGATCATCTAACTGTTAAATAAACAGATACGATCTAGCAACAGATTACACAGGTTTGCATCTTGGCACTATAAAGCATATAGCAGATAACAGATTTTTCACTTGAGAATAGGAGGAAAAAAAAGATTACTGTCTGCAAAATTAGATGCCGCAGCAACTCCACCTCCTACACTATTTCCCAATGTCACTGCTAATAACCCCAAAGATGACACCAACCATTTTCTTCTATCGATGTTAGATGATCTACCATCATCCAATGAACCCATCTCATCTGCATACAGCAATTATGACAGCAGATTACAAACAAGTAAATTTGCTTACTTGATAAGTAAAGATAGACCTTAATAGAACAAAGAATCCAAGTTACAAACCAGATAAAGAAGAGGATGATGCATAGGTGGTATGTCGAATTGGGGATGATTTAATTTGGTTCTGCACCCATTGCTGTAAATCAGAGGATAAACCCACTTTCGGTTTTCAAGGATTTTAGAAATTAAAAAGAAAAAAAATGAAGAAATCTTGAATTGAAGGGTACCGATGTAGAAGAGGGTTTAGGGGTAAAGAATGAGGAAGGAGATCCGATAACTGCAACAGTAACCCCCAACACCATTTATTAGTAGAACCACCGGCTTCTGCAACACGCCGCCGTAGAAAATGAAGTGTTTTCCGGTACTGTTAGTAAGTAGGAGAAGGAGTGCATCAAGATTAAGAGGGAAAGATAACGGCCTTAGATTCATTGAGTTGCCGAGCAGTCGGACTTTTACGTGAAATTACCATTCTACCCATCTCCCTCACCGTACATTTTTAGGCCCGGCCCTGGTATAAAGGTTGTATCTTGGTGGATTAGACTTGCATTCAATGTACACTCTTTTGAGTAACAAGCGAAAACCGTTGGGTTTTTATTAAAATTAAAAGCAAAGAACTTGAACCTTATATAAAGGGTAAATTGTATAAAAATATAACGTACTTTTTGGGGACTTCTCTTTCTTAATGGTTGCTTAAAGGTCTATTTCGTTGATGTATTACTATAACTTGAACAAAGTTGTTTGCTTTTTATTTCAATTAACCAAACAGTTTTTGCTTGTTTCTGAGGGAGTGTACATGGAATGCAAGTCTAACCCATCAAGATACAACCTTTACGCAACCATCAAGAACGAGAAGTGCAACATTGCTTCAAACTCTTCCGTTAGAAATCCAGGTTTTAGTGAGACATCAATGAATTAGACTTTGGATAGTATTTTGGATCTTGATAAAACACTTTCTAAAAGTAATATTCCATTCAGTAAGTTTTAAAGCATTGGGTTATACAAATTTTGTGGTTCCAAGGCAAAAACAAGAAGATTTTGTTACATTTCTATATTTAGTATGTGTTGGTCAGACAGTTATTTTGACAGTTGCCGAGTAGTTACTAGCAGTTGCTAAGTTTTTGGGTCAAGTGAGGATACTCGTTGAACTGCTTCAGTTAACGCACTCATTGATCAGCTTTAGCGACCCAACTCACTGAACGTAATCAAAACCACTTCAGTTTCATGTAAATCTCGATCACTATCATATGATCGATGACACTAAAATCACAAACAATCTTGCCAAGGCCTTCAGCCAAAGTGCAAGTTGAAGAAAAGATCCAAGGAAACGATATCCAAAAAGGATGATTGAAAACACATCTGCAATAACCACCACACAACCAAGGGAAGAAAAGATAAGGGAAAGTAATATAAATGCCAAAATCATTCATCATTTCACTACTACCTCACTTAGAAAACTCCCATTACACAATTTTTCATTCGCTTACACAACCAAACCACTTTACAGAGCATCCGACTGGCGACCAGTCGATGATCTCTTTATTATTTTTGAGGTCTATCGATGCAAATCAAATACTTGAACACACATATTGAGGTCTACAGGCTGACTAGTTTCAGAGAGTTGGCCTTCTCTTGCAGACTATCAAGCAGGCTTTCAAAGCTCTTCTTGAATGAATCTACTCCTTCCAGCTCCAGCTGAGACCCAACAAAGCCCCAGTCTATGCCCAACTTCTCCAAAGCACTGTAAATGCCTTCAGCCTCTGAAACATTCGAATCAATCGTCCTTCCAACACTTCCATGGTCAATAAACGCTTGTAGAGCTTGATCAGGCATCGTTGACACCTAAACAAGAAGATATGAAACACACATTAACATTTGATCCCCACTAATCCCATGGCCCTGAAGATAACAGCCAAGAAAATCCGTAGTGGCCCTGAAGATAAATAGCCGAGCGGCCATAAGGAAAAGAAGGAAATAATTGGTTCATATGGCTCACCGTGTCAGGTCCAACAAGAGGGGCGACATATAGAGTATCGGGGTAAGCTGGGTTCTTGACACTGGTTGAAGCCCAGAGCAATCTTTGCTTTTTAGCACCTTTCTTCACAAGGGCTTCCCATCTTGGACCAGAGAATTTCTTCTGGTAAAGTTGGAAAGCTAGAGCTGCTTGAGCATTTGCAGCCTGTACAGCAGACAACAAAGGTACAATTTCAATTATACGTGTAAATGCATCAATGTTTGGTTTAGTGTAACAAATAAGTTTCTTTTTTTTTTTACAATGATTCAAATTTTCCTATTTTGTACCCATTTTTGATGGGTAACTTACTGATCTCGTAACATACGTTGACATCTGTACCGTCTATGAAAAGGTTACAGCGAAGCAAACGAAAAACTTAGACATCCACGTCATCAAATGTTACAAAACTTGCAGGTTATGGGTCAAAAGGGTACAAAATAGAAAAGTTCTTTTACACTATATAGGAACCAAGGCAAGCTTCGTCCATTTTGCTCTTTCAATTATCCACATGATGGTAGATATTTTTACCTTGCCTCGGAGGTCAAGAGCCTCGGGTGTTCCAATTTTCTCGAGCATCTTGTCGACAAGTGTGTCTACTCGACTCACAAAGAAAGAAGCAACACTGGTAACTCTAGATAGATCATCTAGACCAGAAGCCTCTAACCCTTCCAAATAAGCATCGATAACTGCTTCATATCTAGATAGCGAAAATATGAGCTGCGACAAATCATCAAAAAGAACAACAATAAAGAATTAGTAAGAAATACAAGTTTAAAGTGGCATGTGAAAATGCTACATTATCGAGTCCAAATATATGATAATCGACTCGCCCCTTTCTCAAATCATCCAACCTTACATAAACCTACAGATATCTAAACAGACATCTTGTTTCATGTCAAATAATACAAGGCTGGATAAACTTACAGTTACGTTGACACTTATTCCCAGGGAAATAACTTCTTTGATTGAAGGAACGCATGGTGCTGTTGCAGGAATTTTGATGTATACATTTGGACGATCAACCATTTTGTGCAACCATTTTGCAGCATCGACAGTCCCTTGGGTATCATCAGCCAGTCGGGGTGAAACCTCAACTGAGACATAACCATCCCCTCCATCAGTTTCATCATAGATTGGCTCAAATAGTCTGCAAGCATCTTGGATATCTTTTACTACAAGTTCCCAATATGCACTTTCAATGTCTTTCCCTCCCTGTACAAGTTCCCTGTAGTACCATCATCAGTCGTTAAGCAACCAAACGCTAAGATTCAGAGTTAAATTATAGAATTCTGCCAGATACCAAATACAGTATTCAAGCTTTGGGTCGTTATGAAATCCTTCACGATAATCCTAGCTGGATACAATACCTGAATTGATCATTGTAAGCATTTGAGGTGGATATTGCTTTTTGAAAAATCTGTAATGACAAATGGAACAGCTCGTTAGGATTTTAAATTCTATATGAGGGAATGTAGGAAGAACATATTCATATTCATATTCACAAATGAATATTAGTTGAACTAGAAGCTTAATTACCGCTGGGTTGCTTGTAACACCTCTGACGCCACTTTCAATCAGGGGAAGAAGATCAGTAACAGGACGGCACAGGTTGTCGTACCATGGACTCTGTCCTTGCTTCTCATAGAGATCATGGAGAGTTGTTCTCTTCACATGGCTTCCATTTCCACCAACTTGGCTACATCTAACACTTGTAAACAGAATTAAGTCAGAAAGCGCAAAGCTTCCAATAAAGGAGAAAAATTCAGACAACCAACATGAATTGCAGCCTCTTACTATGAAGTCAAGTTCCTATAAGCACCATGCCAACCAACCCAACTATAACCTTCAGGGTCAGCTCAACCAGCAAATAAAAAAGCTAGGCCTTGAGGCTCCTACCCATAGGTTGTCGTTATCTTCAGGTCCCTATGGCATTGGTCGAGATGCTGACCAGGACAACCATGGTTACCAAAAAACAGGAACCCAAGGCTCAAAATGCACATGCTCCTAAACTCAAGAAGGTTTCACTGGATACATATTGTGAATCATGATTTTGTGGGACATAAATTGATGTTTCTTTGTCATGAGATATATAATTATATATATACACGGGTTAAGGGGAAAAGCAAAAAAAAATGTAAATGCTTTCTGGTTTCTATGTTGCATACTTGACAAATTACTCTTATGCACATGTGTACACCGCACAAATAAATGGTTATCAGGGTATTCCTCAGTTTTCCATTTTTTGTGCTTTTGCCATAAACCAAACCTATATGATATTAATATATAGAGGGGAAAACTCATAAAATGAAAAACTTAGGAACACCTTGGTAACCATTCATCTGGATGATATACATGTGTGCATACAAGTAACTAAAGTTGTTTTTTTGGTTTTTATACATGTGTGCATGTTATGGACACGTGTATACCGGATAAATTGCTTACAAATTACTTGTATGTACATATACATACTGTCCAGATAAACAGTTACCATGGTGTTCCTCACTTTCTAAGGTTTTTCATTTTTTTGGGCTTATCCCATAACCTGACCCTTAATATATATACATATATATATAAATTTTAATAATTTACCGGAGAATACACACACAAGATGCATATCCAACACCACACCGTGACATGCATCTGATATCTCTGGCAAAAACTTGAAACCCATAAAAAAGAAACCCTAATGGATCCTTTTCTAACATCAGGTTGGTGAGGATTAAATCAATTTCTAAATTACACCACAAAAAAAATGATTCTTTTAGCACATAACTGAAAGATAGTCGATTTAAAGGACGATTGGCCAAAACCCACATGGATGTTGATGATCAAGATTCTAACCAAGATCTATTCTATCATGCAAATAACACAAATCCAGCATAAACACCTAAAAACCCCTTGATCAAGAACAAGTTCAACGCCACACCGCACAATTCGAAAATCAACGAAAAGAAAATTAAAAAATCAATCATTTAAAGTGATCAAGAGAAACCAATCGGTAACAGATTTGGAAGAATGAAACAGATTAGCAAACCCTAACCACCATAGCAAAGAAAGTAGACTTACAGTAAGGAAGCGGCTAGAGGAGCGTTGGTGCGAAGGGACAACCTGGAGGACGAAAGTGCAAGTTTGGAAGGAAATCGGAGAGAGAAGGTGGTGGTGGTGGTGGCAAGTTTGGGCGGCAAAGGAGAAGACTTCAGAGAAGTGGCCGCCTGAGTAGAGAGGTTGGAGATGGAAGCCATGGATGGAAGTTGGTGGAGCTTATTTTTTGATCTGAATGAGATCTAATAAAGGAGAGAGAGAGAGAGAGAGAGAGAGAGATATATATATATATAAATGGGGGTTACTTCCTATTTCACCAACCCCGTCATCTGCGATGCAAACGAAGGTGAAATGGGATTTGTTAATCTTGATTAAATTAATGAAATTTAGGGTTTATTAAGATCATTAATCTCTTCAATGGCGGCTCCTATTGATGATCAGCAGGCACAAATATGCTTTAAAGATGACAACTTTTTACAAAACAAAAATCATAAGCTCTACAACTACAACAATAATTGATATTGATTCATGTTACAATGTCTTTGAATAAATATTTTGTATTTGACCCAAATATCTTTTTAGCATTTCATTTTTATTTCTAATGTTTTTTATTTAAAAATCACAAATCTTGATTAATAAAAATGGAGCCTTTGGGGGTTAGAAAGGGTCCAATTCATCGAGTGACGACGTTTAATCAAAGGGACGGGCCATCCATGCTACTCTTCCTACTACATCTATTTCCATCTCACCCCTAAATCCTATTTTGTGAGTTTTTTTATTAACCTGACATCCAACCTACTATATTAGTCGACTAATTCTAAGAAAATCACGTGCTTTGCAGATAGTTTGAAGTCACCGCATTTGAACCTATGTAACCATAAGGGGATTTTTGTTTCTTTTTGGATTTAAATTTGAAACCTCCTGATACTTTTGAAGTCAAACTCAAATCAATCAAGCATCATTCTTATGGTTCATTTTTATATTTAATTTGTTATAGTAAATATTTTAATATTACTTTAAATATAATCAATAATATAATGTTTTGAAAATAATATAAAAATTGTAAAACGATTTTTTCTTTGTATTTATTTTTCCGACCTTGTTTTGCTTCTTATTTAAATATCATGAGCTTTTTTATTTGATAAATGTATAAAGTAAATTAAATTATACATTAATATATGACATATATGATTTGCATTGTAATAAATATTAATATTTAACTTAATATATATATATATATATATATGTGTGTGTGTATATGTAGAGGGAGGATCAAACGTGATTGATATTTATTTAAAAGAATACGAGATTAATTTTGGGCCAATCATTTTATTAAATAATATCTTAAATAATTAGTTTTAAATTAAATAAGTAAGGATATAAAAGTAATTTAGTTGTGTAAAAGTTATTTAAGATTCTACTTTTAGCATATTTATAATTTTAATATGATTTAATTTTTTATGTAAGTAAAATATTTTATGTTTAATGCATAAAATAGGTGTATTTAGGCTTTTATTTAAATAAGAGAAAATCATCAAAATAACCAAAATATACCCGATATATTAAATGAAATAACCAGTTTTCACCAAAATTGTGAAAATGTCCACACGGATCGCCCCCGGGAGGGCAATCGTTGACCATGGGGGGCGATCCCCCCTTGTTTGACCAAAAAAGTACAAAAAATATAATAAAAATCATTTTGATGGGTCCCACATGCATCCCTTTAGGGTACAAAACACTATGCGCCTCGTTTTGTGTTGATCTACCCCAGGAGCGATCCACGTCAACCAATCGGCCATGAGGGCAATCCAATTTTTTTTTTTTTTTTAATATTGATTAAGGAGTGTTTTTAATAAATATGAGACGATATTTAAATTGTTTATCAAATCGTATTTCTATCAAACCGTATTATCTTGTTGCAATTTTGTTTATAGGTATCACACTGTATTATTAAAATATATATTATATCTTTAGAAGAAAACTGATTTTTAAAAACTGAAAAAATAAGTATAAGTTCATTAGTTCATAACAAATAATCGTAAGTGGTACAAATCGACTATCTCAACTAATCTGATCTTAACTTTCCTTTGCAATTGATTCCATTCATTTTAACTGAATGCAACAAATAATTTGTACATATTTCTCATCTTTTGTGAGGTTTGAACCTCTGATTTCTTAGGAGACCAAAGACTATGATACCGCTAGGCCAAAAACTCTTTAATCATTTTAGTTTTGTTTTATAAATAATATAACATCATCTTTAACAATTTCTTAAAAAAAATTAAAAAAGAAAAATCTTATAAAAAGTTGCATCAAACTTCTCTTATTTCTCTATTGTAGATATTTTTAGCAAAAAACATATTAATAAATTATTTAAATACGTATCCTTATTAATTTCATGATGAGATCAAATAATACAGTGAGAATATAAAAAGTAAGACTTGATTTTAATGTGTATAAAGAAATATGTAAGTATAAATATATTTAATAATATATATATAGAGAGAGGTTGGTTATTATACAACCCTTGACATTTGTACAACCAATACAACTCAATCTCAACCGTCAATTTCATTTGATTAATATATGATTTCATAAAAGTTTTGATTGTTTTATAATATAAAGTATTGATCATAATTAATGAACCATATTCATCTTCCATAAATATTCAAATCATAATAAATGAACTCTCATAATTTTCATAAATATCTCAATTTATTGGGTTGCATTGGTTGTACAAATACGATGGATTGT